AAAAAGAAAAAATTGATAAGACCTATATATAGAAAATTAGATAACATTACAGAGAAATTGAAGATTTAAAGAAACATTTTAAACACTTGGCATGTTATCTAATAATCTAATTTTAATGAAAATTCCAGGTTTTTAATTGACAGGCTTTTCTAACATTGATACAAAAATCCACAAGACTCAAAATATAAAATTAAAAGAGGGGGCAGGGAGGTAGCTCAGTAGAATAAGTGCTTGCCTGGCAAGCACAAGGGCCTGAATTCAATTCCTGGTTCTGCAAAAAAAAAAAAAAAGAAAGAAAAAATTTGGAAGGCTAACATATTATTTCCAGAATACATAAAAAACTCCAAAAAATTAATATATATAGCCAAATTCTGCCTGCCCAATGTACTGAGTTTTCTGCATGCATATGTTTGAGATTCAGGATTAAGATGCTCTGGAGAAATTTCTCTACAGGATACGGAGCTACACAACTTACCCCTAAGGACTCTTTTAGGCGAGGGGGGAGCTGGGTACGCCAGAATCAAAGGTATCAAACTCAGTACCTCACACCTGCCTGCAGGTGCTTCATGTTGAGCTATACCCCCAGCCTGAGGCCTCTTTTAATTATGTAATAAATGCTGGCTGACTCTCAAGATCCTACCTAACTCACAGGTAACTGATCTCAAAAATGAGTTATTGGACCAGGGAGATAGCTCAGTGGCATAAGCACCTGCCTGGTAAAGCGCAAAGTCCTGAGTTTGATCCTTGGTACCAAAAAAAAAGAGTGAGTTTTGAGAAGGCATCAAAGTATCAGAGTGGAAGGGGGGTGGGACAAAACCTATGAAAGGAAGTCCCAGGGTGGCAGTAAAATAACCACATGGAAATAGGCCATATTTGAATAGAGGCAATGAATCTTTTCTTCAATGTCTTCTCCCTTCTTCAAATTGCACAGGTTGCCAAAAGTGACAAAGCTTCCTTGGCAAAGGATAGGGGAGAAACAGAACAGAGGTTATACTACTTGTGGTAAAAACTAATGGGGACCCCCCCCCCCCAACAGCCAATTCCTCTTTTGGTCTAAGTTAATTCTCTCTGGTCTGAATTAATCACGACACAACTGTTCTCCTTTGCTAGTGACTGAAACAAGGCCCAGCTCTTACTAATAAGATATAAAGGGATGTCTCCTGGGAGCTTTTAGAAATAGTTTCCTTTCTAAAAACCAACGGCACATGAAGAAAAATCCTATTGATGAGTTTTTGTTTTTGTTTTGCGGAACTGGGGATTGAACTCAGGCCCTTGTGCTTGCCAGGCAAGCACTTATTCTACTGAGCTATATCCCCAGCCCCAAGAAAAGTCCTTTGGCTAACCTCGTGTTTCCTATTCTGTCTCTTTTCATGTGAAAAGTCATGCTGAGCATCCCTACTTCACAAATTCAAATCAAACATGCTTCAAATTAGATTTCAAG